GAAGTTTGTTTGAATAGAAGTGGTGAGTTAACTTGTGGAAGTATTTGTTAACATAAGTTTATTTGTTATTTATTTTTTCAGGTTCGTTCGATTTCTATATCGAAAGCTTCTGAAAAGTTGATTATCTCTCCTGAAGAATTTGATGATATGAGACATTTTCATATGTTTAGGTTTTTTATTTGAGACTTCTTATAATTTGTTTAATATTTGTTTGTATGAACTTCTTGTATTTTTTGTAAAATTAAATTTTATTTAATATTATAAGTTTTATATTAAATTCAATGTATGACAAGATTTATTGTTGCAAAAAAAAATAAATAAATAACCCTTTGGAGACGAAAAAGGATTTGGTCGCCGAACCAAATCTATTTCTTCGGCGACGAAAAATATAAATCGTCGCCGAAACTCTCTGGCGACCGGGCAACGGCGACGATTTAGGCGACGACTTTGTTTCGTCGCCCAAGACCTTGGGGGACGAAATTTGACCTTTTAGCGACGAAAATTGTCGTCGCCGAAACTCCAAATTCTTGTAGTGAAGGTCTGGAATCGAGCGCTGTCGGGCCATCGGAAATCTACCGCGACACCGTCGGATTTGCTTACGTTGGAGTTCGTGGCCGCTGCTGGGTTTTGCCTTAATTTAATCTGTCCTTAGTAGCTTGCCTACTTATTTTCTCACGATCTTCCAAGATCCAACGAGAGTTACCAAGGCTCTTGAGCAGCTGATGCAGAATTTTTTATGGGAAGGTTCAAGAGGAAAAGGTCAATCTCATTTGATTTACATAGTCACGTTCCCAAAAACCTCTGGTGGTACTGGTATTGGTAGCATCTGGCTCACAAATTCGGCTCTTCTATCCAAATGGTTGTGGAGATTTCTTATCCAAAGGCTAAATATTCTGCCCATACTGCTGATCTTATACCTTCTGTTTGCAGATTCGAGGGTTCCAAACCACCTTGGTTCCATATTACCAAGCAAAAGGATAACTTCCTTTATTATACTAAATGTAGGCCGGGAATGGTAATCACATCATTTGCTGGCATCACAAATGGACCGAATCTGAACCTCTTTGTGTGCTTCATCCCCGCCTCTATGCTCTATCATTGTCCAAGCATATGACTATCGGGACTCATTTGTTGGGTTTGGTGCCCTTAGCTCGTTTATTTGTAATTAATGAACACATTATTTATTTAATAAAAGAGTTATTTTATTATTTCTTTGCATTATTCGTATTCCAATAAACTAAGATCCAAAGTTATTTAATGTAACTGGAACAATATATAACTGATATACGGTATATATATATTTAATATATAGTGTATATATTTGATATACAGTATATAATAAATATACGATATATAAGTAGATAATATTTCAGTAATAACCTAAAATATCTATAGTACATGGATAGGGTTGAGTACCTTATGTTGGTAACACTATGAATATGGCCCACTTTGTAAGAGTTACAAACGACTTATCCAGATCGTTCATTAGGAGACATGCGAGTGGAGATGTATCATATGCAATGAGTTTGTATAAGACCGGACCGCAAAATAATTAATCTTTAATTATAAGACCATAAACTAACTAGATTAATATTGCATAAGATGACCAGGTAACTCGATTTTAATCCTGAGTGAGTTATGAACTCCTGCCTACAAGGGATCGTCCTTTGATATGAGTGAGAGTGGCCCGAGTTGCCGACTCAATAATCCTACCATTTTGAGGACAAGACCTAGTGGGGAGTTGGGAACATAACTACGCAAGATGAAATTTACTCCTTCCCGATTTAGGATATGTAGATGAGTGTTCGCTTAATTGCTGACTCCAAGACTTGAACAAGGGGCCCCACCCTCTCACTGGCCCGAGAGAGACTTCTGTTTAATGGTCATACCATAAACATGTTGTTAATTAGAGGAGCAGTGGTACTTAAGGTTCAAGATGTAACTTAGGGGTAAAACGGTAATTTGACCCAACTGAAGTTACGAACACTCGTGAAGGATTGACTTGCCGTCAATGGTCAATTTTCATGGACACAAAATATTTTGCAGTGAGAAGAGTGCAGCTGCGGGTCTTTAGTGGAGGTAATCCGCAGTTAACGAATGTTGGTTAATAAGTTTAATTAATTAATATCGTATCGTTAGAGGTTCTAATCTGTAGGCTCATTAGGTCCCCTTACTAACTCAGSTAAAACGAAGATCAAGAATTATAAAATAATTTGAAATGTTCAAATTATATAAGAGAATTTGTATATCATGATATATAAATATATATTAATTTAGATAAACATTCAAAATTAATACTATATATAATAAAAGAAATATTTGAATAAGATTCAAATAATTAATATGAATTGAATTCATATTAAAACTATAGATTATAAAGAGATGTTTTTTAATAATATATAATATTTAATTAAAAGTTAAATAATTAATAATTAATTATTTATTTTATTAATATTTCGATTTAATTAATCAATTAATAATTAGATTGTAATTAATAATTAAATTTAATTAATTTGTTATTAATTAAAAAAAGGGGGAAAAACTAACTCCCTCCATAATTGCAATAGAGGGGTGAAATGGGCTAACTCCTCACGTTGGACTTTATTAAAAATACGTACAGAAGAGTTCTGCAAAAGAAGTTGGTGGTGGTCTCATTGGATTTTCACAAAAGGAGGGTTCTTCGAAGGTAGACCATTCTCTTTCTTAGTTTTATTTTATGTGTTCCAAATCTAAAAAGAAAATTCCAAGAACACGTGTTACCGTACCGTTATCTCGGGATTCACATCCCATCATCATCTTCTTCGTAGAATCTACACCCTTGTAGACCCCTGCTACAAAGAGAAATAGATTATTGGTGTAATGCTATTGGTTCTCAACTTTGGAACATTTGGTTGGAGAAAAATAGTCTGGATGCACACAAAAGTTTATCCAACCCTATGGGAAGATATCAACATTATGGCCCCAGCATGGTTTATCTAAATCTTTCCTCTTTTGTAATCATGATATTGTCTCAATTTCCTTCTATTGGAGTGTTTTCTTTTGACCCTCCTCTTTTTGTACGCTTCTCTCACTCACAAACTTATTAATGAAAGGTACATTTTCTTCCAAATATATATATGGTATATTGCACATAAATTTTCATTGTGATGGTAGACTTTAAGGTAATTAATATTATAGGTTTTGTTGGTGATATATAAAGTATATCAATGATATACTTTATTTTAATTAGCTACAACGGATATACCTAATATGAAGGATAGCATTAAATATCTCAATGATATATTTCATAATAGGTATATGTATATCATCAATAAATCTTCTTCGAGTTGAAGGTTTCGGTTTAATATTGGAAGTTTCTTATTGATATATAAAATATATCAATGATATATTTGATTTTACATATATATATCATTGATCATCGATTATCAGTCTCACTAAATGTAATATATTAGTGATATATTTCATTTTAGGAATTTCAGTAATATAATTTACCTATCTAATTAATATGAAGTATATGACGGATATATTCAATATTAAGTATATATGAAGAAATCGTCCATCTTTAAGGGTATAATCAACGTTTCTATTTCTTTTTTGGTTTCGTTGGTGCCTCCATTATTTGCTATGTTTATAAGTCTTAAAAGTGGTTGCTACAACTAAACGTAACTTATAATTTTTGTTTTTTTGCTATATTTTCAAGCTGCCCTAAAGAAAATGTGATCTCATTTTCCCTTTATTATAGTTAGATATTTTGGTAATACATTAAGCCAACGGATACAACTTTATTCTTATACAAGATCCCAAGGCAGCCAACCCAAGCTAGCATGGCTCTTCTAAGCCGCACAAGTGGGGATGATAATGTTGCAGGCTCTAGCAATTCTTCTACCACTGTCAGAAAATATGTAAGGTTTCAACGATGGATCCTTGATGTACTGACAATAGCATGGTTTCTGCTCCTTCAGCTTTCCGCAGCAACCATACGACGGCGGCAGATTGAATAGGTATGCGAACCCACACGGCGCAATGAGCTCCGAAGGGTTGCAGTAACTCACGCCATCCTCCAGCCCGGGAAGCTCAATAGGGTTGCAATGCACAGCACCAGCCCGATGACCTCCAATGAGAAGCGCCACTGTCGCTGCTACCGCCACCACCCAAAGGAAGCCACCTGTGATCGGAAGTTTGTTCATTCTTTTTGATATGTTGGGAGGATTTGATTTGTTATGTGGAAGGAAAAAGAAAAAGGAAAGAGGAATTGGTGTGTGTTTGCCAATGATTTTCAACCAAAGTATTTATAATCGTATGTGATTACCGGTAAGGTAGGTAAGTATCTTTCTACTCAATGGTAAACACATTTTTTTTTCCTAGTGTTCTAATAAAGTCTCGTTGAGTTGATTAGAGAAGAGGAGGCATGACATGAAAACTATTTTAAATGTTATTAAAATAGTTTTCGTGACAATTATAAACTGTGGTTAGTACGTTTTTGTGGACCACTTGAGAGCACAGTCTTTTGATTCATTTARTAACAGTTATAAACTATCATCAAATGAGTAATTTCTAATTTCTGACATTTTTAAATCGTGGTCGATTGATTTGTGACAGTTTATAATTGTTATTGTAGTTGTATTAATGCCACTTTTTCAATAACGGTCACGTTCTTCTTTTTCTTGATGTCTTAATCTACGACAGTTATATATAGCTATCACGAATTATGTCAATGACAGTTTTTAACCACTCTTCAAGTCTGAATTTGTAGTAGTGAATTATCTACATTAGTATGAAGTTCCTCTTTTTTTTTTTCATATTATTATGGAAATATGTTGAGAACACTAGCTGTTATGTGTGTGAATTTCTCAGAGACCGAATAAAAAATGATTGATATAATGACAGTATATAGGCAAGGACAATTATATTCTCATTGACATGAGATATTTAACTTTGGGTGAATTCAAAGCAAAATCACGAAGAATTATGTCTAGCGGACCATCATTCTTGATAACTTCTTTTTTAACTTTATCAACGTTTAATTCGATTAATTAATTTTCATTTAATTAATATTTTAACTATGGTAGTTAAGCATTGATTAAATTTTAGTTAGATTTTTCAAAGGCTGTGATTATAGAGTAAGTACAATAATTTTCTAAGTTACTTAATTCTTAAACTATATAAAATAGTAATAAAAAACACAAACATATAGAAAGGAGATTAAGCAAAATATTTGATACTATTTTATTTCCAATTGCATGGTTCATATTTTAATTTAATTGGTTTTTAAATTTTTGTAAACTCCGTTTTTTAATGGTTCATATCCGATTGGAATTTAATAATAGAAGTTGAGATTTGTTTTAGAAGAAATATTGGGAGTAATAAGAATTTCTGTTGTGACTTTTATAAGCCTGCCAGGATTAACAACTTTCGTAATCTTATTGGTTGTATTAAGGTAGGAATTTTATTTAAAACTTTATCGTACCAGTTACCACAACATTAAATGTACAATAATTATTTTTAAGCCGAAATGTTCAATAACTTAAATGTAGCTTTGAATGGTAGAGGCTAGATTATTAATACGTTGACAATACATAGAGTTTTATTTAAACTAAAGTTAAATTATGAGTTTAAAAGTTAAACGACTTTTAGGATTGTGTCTAATAACTCTGTAAACCCTGCCAAAGCGAGCATAGCCGGTAATTGACATATATTTCCAACGAAGAGGTTGTGAGTTTGATTCTCCACCTCTACATATATATTGTATTAAAAAAAAAGAAAAGAAAAGAAAAAACCTCTTTAAACCTTAAAAAAAATGTCTAATAAGTCTAGAGACTTTAAATTTTAAATTTTGTGTTGAATAGGTTCCTAAACTTTAAAAGTGTCAACTAGGTCTCTTAATTTTCAATTTTGTGTCTAATAGATCATTGACCTATTTGACAGTTTTTAGGATCCTGATTGTTTAATTTTATATCTATAATTCTATGATTTTTTAAAAAATGTATACACAGTCATGGGTGACTCATTATTCTAAAAAAAGACTAGGGTAATTTGATAGGGAATGACTTCAAATCCGGTGATGGTCACCTATCTTAAGAATGAATTCTTATATATTTTCCGGCATCAACTGTTGTATGGTCATATGACTGCTTTATGAAATTAGTCGTTATGAATTTAGTCAAGGTGCACGTAAACTGGTCTAGACATTTGACGTTTCTTCTATCGTGATTTTCCTTTGTTAGACATGTTAAAGATCCCACATTGAAAAAAAAATGACCTAATAATGATTTATAATAGATATGGACTACTCATCTCATTGCCAATTGATTTTGAGATGGAACCTCATGAATATTAATAAGACATATCTCTCCCGTAACCTCTCCATACTTAATTATACTAAAAAAAATAATAAAAAATGTAGCTTTATCAAAGTCCACACAATTCAAACGAGCATCTAATTAAAAAATAGGACATGATTAAGATTGGTGACCCTAAATTATCTTTAAAAAAAATTTATAATATACATGTACTCCTGTGTCAACCGATTAAGATTAGTGAGTCCAAAAAAAACCATCATCTTCCATAACAAGTTAGTTACCTCTATGGTACTATTTCAAATGGATTATCAAATCAATTAACTTTTACATGATTATATGTTTAAATAATTAAATTTATAAAGTTATAATATTATTATTAGAAAATAAATTATGAAGTTGACTTTTATAACTCTCATTCCAAAACAAACACTCCTATTTTAATATTTCTTGGCTTAAAAATTTCATACCCACCTTAATTTTCAAATTATTAATTATGGTGAATATAAAATTTGATTCTTACCGATAACTAATCAAGTATTTTGTCACGACATATCCTCTTCTCTGTTTGGCAGGTCCAAATCAGCCTCAAATCACACCAAATTAGCTCACATCAGCATTCTTACATTTAAAGCCAAAAGTACCGTTGACAAAACACAGCACATTACCAATTTTGGCCGCTGAGTTTCTGCTTTAGTTACCAAGTTTAGCTGATGAATTCCTACGTTAATCCCTTTTCCATAAGTTCCACTCGTACAAGACCTTATTATCAATTAAGTATTTGTTGTTTAGGTGTGTTTTACACATAAAATTTCACCTATTTTCTTTTATATTTTTTACTAAACCCTAAACCCTAACACTCTTAAATAAATAGTTACTCAATTAGAAAATTACTACCTAAAAAAAATTTATATATCAATTTAATAATGACATGTACGTTTTGTGAAATTTGGCTAAACCAAAAATGAAACTTTTGAAACCATAAAGACTAAATTGAAACTATAGAGACCAAGTTCAACTAAGTTAGCTAAACAACAAGGAGCTGTACCGAGACTTTTAAAACCATAAGAACCAAATTAAAGGTTTTTTGCAAATCATAGGAATCAAATTTGTAACTTAACCTAATTTTTAATAGAAGGTAACAAATAGACCTCATCTTTTCACTTCACTTAATTCAATTGTTTTTTTTTTTTCGAAAAAGTGGTACCATTTCATTAAGAGGTATGTGAGAAACATACATACAAAAAGGAAGAGCCTAAAGAGTTATAAGAAATGATAGCTATAGAGTAATTACAAAAAAGATTTGATTTGGAGGACCAATATGAGGCATTTATATTGATGTCCTCCCACAGCTCGCCCCTATTTCTAAGGGGGCTTATGCACTCTACTCGTTACCACTAAACGACGAAGCCAAGAAAGAGCAGAAGGAGGGACTTCAGCGAAGCCTTAGATCTAATAATCTCCAAAAAAAAATGCGATTGTTACGTTCCAACCATAGGTTCCACATAAGAGATCCAATGGCGTTACTCCAAAGAATATCGCGCTGGCTTTTGAAAGGCTTTGACAAAAGCTCGGTAATAAATTTGTCAATAGTTTAGGGGAAAGTAATTTATATCTGGAAAATATTTAGGATGTGCAGCCAAAGAGCAGTAGTGAATGGACAGTGAAGAAATAAGTGATGTAAGGATTCGCCATTTTGATAGCATAAAACACACCGATTTGGAAAGCTTACCGTTGATGGAAACCGAGCTTGTATCTTATCTGCTGTATTGAGACTTCTGTGGAGAAGGCACCAAAGAAAGAATTTGCATTTTTTCGGAATGAGGAGGCTCCAAAAATTGTCAAAGAAAAATGATTGATCAGTTTGTGACGGTCCTGATAGGAGGAATTTCATATCCTGTACAGAAAATGCTCCATTGTAAATAGCTCCCCAAATAATTTTATTAGGCCCTTTAGAATCAAATGGCTGTTTAAAAGGGGATGTAAAAATGGCCCAATTGTTCAGCTCCCTATGAAGCATAGGAGGGTGAGGGAGGAAATTCCAACAACCAAATTGCCAAGCTTAAAAAATAGAGAGTTTTTTTGTCAGAGTGAGCATAATATTTGGGTTTAGCTAGGTACAGGGGCCCGTTGTCGGTCCAATTATGATACCAGAAATACAAATCTCTGCCATTGCCAACTTCCCATGTAGTCGTTCTGTGAAAGATGTCCGTCATTTTAATAATATGGGGCCAAGGAGTTTTTGAGCTACTGAATTTGCATGTGGTGGGAAGAATCTCTGGAAGATGTTGTACATATTTTGCCAAAATCAAAGAAACCCATAGGCTGTTATTTTCATTGAAGAAGCGCCACAACCACTTGTAAGTAGAGCCTTGTTTGTGATGCTAATGCTTGTAATGCCAAGACTCCCCTTTGACTTGGGGAGAGTGACAATGTTCCATCTGACAAGATGAGATCCTCGTTTATCGCCGATACCTTTCCAAAGGAAGTCCCTCATAAGCTTCTCAAGTGCTTTAGTAACTTGAATGGGGGATTTGAAGATCGATAGGTAATAAGTTGGCAAACTGCTTAGAATCGATTGAATGAGAGTTAGGCGACCAGCTTTTGATATGTCAGAATATTTCCAACTTTCAAGTTTTCTGCGCTCGATGATCGGATCCCAAAAAGGTGAAGCCTTTGGATTACCTCCCAGTGGCATCCCCAGATAATTAATCAGAAGAGAAATAATTGGGCAATCCCATATTCTAGCTAGATGGGGGAGATCTTCAGCTGGTATATTGATATCGGAAAATGAGGATTTTTGGATATTGATGTTGATGCCAGAAGTTAGTTCAAAAGACTTCAGTAGTAAATAAATAAAGATTCTGGAATTTGGTCTCATCAGCAGTAGAGAAAAGTAATATATCATCGACAAATAAGAGGTGGAAGAGATGGAAATCCTTATGTTGAATTAGAAAACCTTCAATAAGACCCTTTGTGTAGGCTTCTTCCAAAATACGACTTAGATAATCCATAGCCAAAGAGAAAAGGGGAAAGTGGTCCCCTTGTCTGATGCCGCGTTTGGCTGAAATATTTCCTCTCAATTTGCCATTCAGAAGAATGGAATATGATACCGTGGAAGTGCATCCAATGATCGAAGAAATCCATTTGTCAGCCTTTTGATACAAAACTTTATAGAGAAAGTCCCAATTTAACTTATCGAAGGCTTTTTCAAGATCCAACTTTATGATAATACCCCGTTTCTTTGAGCAACACCAGAGATCGACCACTTCGTTGGCCACTAAAATTGCATCGGTAATTTGACGCCCTCTAACAAAAGCCGACTGATGTTGAGCTATTGTAGAGGGAAGAACAGCTTTCAAACGATCTGCAAGAGATTTAGCAAGGATGTTATAAACACTTGTTGTCAGGCTGATAGGCCGAAAGTCAGACATAAGCCTAGGGGATGGAGATTTGGGTATAAGGGCTATGAAGGTTTGGTTGAGAGCACGGTTTACTTTGCCACTACTGAAAAAATCTTGGAATACTTCCTGAAAGTTTGGCTTGAAGGTGTTCCAATATTTTTTTCGTGATTACAATTGAATACTTCCTGTATCATAATTGTAACCACAAATATTAGTTGGTCTACGTCATTTATATCCAATAATTTGTGATATTAAAAAAAAGTTGAAGCATAGAGCAAGAAAATATCCCATCATCCTCTTTTATTTATAATTTGATTTTGTTATGGATAAAGCTGGCGATACAACTTCATTTTCATATTATGGAAATTCAAAACAAAAGCATGGGCTCTAGCTGCAGGTAGGAACACTGGTAAAGCCACATCTCGAAATGATCTTTTTGACGGCAGAAGATTGCAAGTAATGCGTATATTTTGGATTTCTGTAGTACGCACAGTAGCATGATTCTTGCTCCCTCACCCTCCGGCAGCAAGCTCCCGATGGCCGCACATGCAACGTGAAAGCCAAGAGACATGGTTTCAGATTGTCAAGGTCGCAAGTCGCCGCAGCCTCCGCTGCACGAGCTCCAGCGAGAAGCACCACCATTGCAGCAACCAAAAGGAAAAGGCTTGTGATCGGAAGTTTGCTCATTGTTGTGGATTTTGAGAGGGCTGAAGATATGTGTATGGGAGAAAAGAAAGAGGAATTGGTGCATATTTGCCAAAGCTTTCGGTCAATATTTATAGCCTCGTGGAGTGGAAGGTGTGAAAAAAATTACTAGTTACCATCCTTTGACTAATTTCACACTCCCCCACCACTAACTTATTTGTTAGGAGTGCAGCCAAGTTGATAACATGGGTTACCATATATTAAGAGAAACTTCCAAGATGGGACAAGACTTTGGTGTGTAACTCATCAACCATGAGGAATATCTGTAGATTGATTGATTAAAATTGGTTTTTAAGATATAAGGAAGAGCTCTTCCCATGATTATGTTGGAGAATTAGGTCATCGTTGATGCACGATTGTAGTTGAGACATGTCGACTAGTGATTTTAGGTGAATTCTAATGTGGTTTGTCGAGCTAACATGCAATAGAACCTTACACTAGCATGATGCTCGACTACGTCTACTTTAAAGCTTTAGTACTTAGTACGAACTGATGTCGAGTCGAGTTTATATGAATGTAAGAGATTGTGATTGTATACCTTTTTGAAAAGTTGGGACTCCGGCTTTTTGAATAGTTGGGACTACAATTTAACTAGTTTTTCTCTGACAATTAAATGTGCGTTTGGTTGGTAATCAGAAAACAGAAATTTAAAAACAAAGGATTAATGAAAACCAAAGTTGTATTCTTAGTGTTTTCAGATATGTATTTGATAACAGATTTGGTAATTGAACTTCAATTTAAAAAATTGTTCAATGTTTGTTTAGCAATATATTTGTAAACTAAAAATAGTTACAAACTAAATTTTAGTTTATTTTAAATTTATATTTATTAATTTATTAACATTTTTTATAAATTTTGTATAATTATTATTTTACAGAGTTCTATAATTTAGAATACATTATATTTTACATGTTTTAATTTTAACAAACATAAAATAAGTTTATAATATGAAGTAATATACTTTATCAAAGTTATTATCATTTTTAATGTAATTCTACATGTTAAATATTTCAAATTCTGAATCTTAAAATACTGAAAACATAAAAAAGTCGTTTTAGAATTTCTACTGTTTGCATCACAAAATCCGAAAATAATTTTAAAAAACGAATCTCAAAAATCCTACCAAACGCGTATTGCTGAATCTATTTGATTCAATAAATCTGAAAACAATAAACAGAATCCGAATTTCCAAATAGATTCTAAAAGATTCTCTAATGACAGAATTACGATGGTAATTGAGGCATACTCAAATAGTAGTCAGGCCGACAGCAGCTTTTCGTCAACAAGGTCGTTGAATGCTATAGGAATCAGGCTGATAGTAGTTTTAAGGCGTCGATTGCTCACATCAGCCTCAAATCACACCAATTAGCTCACATCAGCCAGAAAAATTTATAGTACGTGTCGTGGGAGTATCTGCTCCGTTTGTTCATATTAAATGATGTTGACATAAAACGTAATAAATAGCAATATTTATCTATATTATAGTAGCAATAGGAAATTTTCACCACATCAACCTTATTGTCAAAGTCAAAAGGGACAGTCCGGTTAGCAAGGACTTGAGGTCTCTTAGTCATACCGGTTTAGAGATATCAAGTTCAAATGAGTATTTAATTAATACAAAAAAGACCTTTGATGTGTCCCAGATGTAGATCTTGGAGCAAGGGTGTGGGTGTCCCTTAATATATGAGATTAAAGCTCCGACTCCCAATTTTCAAAAAGAAAAAAAAACGCACATTATCTGTTGAGATCAGTACCAAGTTTAGCTGCTGAATTTCTACTTTATTAACCAAGTTTAGCATTAGCTCCTGAATGTATACCTTAATTCCCCGTCTTTATAACTTCCATCTTTAGAATACCTTATTCAACTTCACTTTTAAGATGTTCTCAGAACCAGTAACGATTTCATGTCGAAAAGATTACCCACTGTTTGGAACTATAATTTGCAAGGATTCTCAAATTATAAATGATTTTGAAATCATTTCATGTGTCTGTTTGGAAAGAAAAAGAATGAGTTTGAAATCACGTTTTAAGTCCCAAAATTTCTCATTCCAAATAGTTTCAGATTTGTCAGGATTTGAAATTGAAAAGTATCTAATTCCAAATTTACTCTACACTCACATAATTAATCTTCAAATATGACTTCATAAACAAATAGCCGTTCAACTAAATTACTTTTTTTCTCGTCTCTCCTCCACAAACATTTTTTGAATTATCGTTCAAGCAAAATACAATTTTTTTATATATTTAAAATTTCTCTTTAGTATTTTTTAAAACATTTTTGTAATTTTTTTTTAAAGTTTCCTTCTTGTGTTTTTGTTCGTGAGGTTTTTTCAAAAGATGTTAAAAAAAAAATTTAAACAAGTAAGAGGTTGCATTAGAAGAAAAAAGTTGAATCATTTTTGTTTACATTTGAAATAATTCGACTTTAAGTTTTTTCAAGTATTTTGTTTACAAGTTTTTTCTTGTTTAAGCTTATTGGCAAGGTTTAATTTAATATCTTGATTTGATTAAATGATTTCATATGGTTGACATAACTATTTCATATTAAAATATTATATTATTATTAATATAATATTATACTAAATTATAAGGACATAATAGTAAAATGATATACTTTCTTTTCATTTTCCGTGAACATCCAAACAAGAAATTTTACTTTTAATGATTTGAATTCCATTTGGTTCCCAACGCAATTAGAAATTTGAAATCATTTCCATTATTCAAAATCCTGAAGTTTAAAATCATTTCTCACCAATTCCAAATGCCAAACGGAGCATAAGGCATTTAACAAAATTTGTAAATACATGTGCTACTTCCACATTATCCATTAGTTTTGAGATTGAACCTTTAAATATTAAGATAGTTCAAAGCACAACAAGCTCAAATGAGGATCTAAAATAATAATACAAAAAAAAAAGGTGATCCAAAGATATTGATAGTTTCAATTTGGTCACTTTAAAAGTTTCAACTATGGTCCCTATGATTTAGGATCAGTTTCAATTCGATTTTTGTGGTTTGCTTAAATCTTACTTTCTAAATGGTGTGTTTTATCCATTTGAAAAATATCCACATCTTTTCTTTTACTTTTTTACTCAACCATAAACCCTAATACACTTAACTAACACAATTATTCAAATAGAAAGCTGCTATCATTCAAAGAAAAAAATGACAATGACAGGGAGATTTGTAAAGGTTGACTATAACCATAAGGACTCAATTGAAACTTTTGAAACCATGAGAATAAATTGAAACTAAATCAAAACGGTAGGGAACAAGTTAAACTAAACTAAAACTATAAGAACTAAATTGAAACTTTTAAAACTATAAGAACCAAATTAAAACTTTGCAAGCCATAAGGACCAAATTTGTAATTTAACCTAATTTTAATAGACCGTAACTAAACAAACAGCCCCATCTTTTCACTTAGGTCTAAAAATTTTATTTTATTGTAATCACACCAACCCAAACATAGCTTTACTAGTTAAGGCAATATATATCTTGATCAAAAGGTCCGAGATTCAAATCCTCAACCACACGTATATGATATAGAATTACAAATTATTATAATAATAATTGTAACAACAAATTTTAGTTGTTGGTTTATGTAATCCCTAGACCGAGGATTTAGACCAAAATTCGAAATCCAGATTTGGCTCTAATTATCCCGGCATATCCCTCATCCCCTGCACCTGGCTGCGTCACAAAGAATCAAGCACGCTTAACATTGGAGTTCTTACGATTGAGTTAACGAAAAAGAATGTGCACATTGCTAGTATAGAGGTGACTATCCATTCTTTTATGCTTCTTGGTTATTCTTCCATGATCTCACAATGTCTCTCATTCGATGGTATCACTTCATTTATGTACCCATCCTTTCTACTTCGAAGTTACAGTTTACGCCACTTATGTCCAATAATTTATGATATAAAAAAAGGTTGAAGCATAGAGCAAGAAAATATCCATCCATCCTCTTTTATTTATAATTTGACTTTAATAATGATAAAGCTGGCGATACAACTTCATAGTCCAGAAAACGGCATGGGCCCTAGCTGCAGGTAGGGATATTGGTAAAGCCACATGACGAAATGATCTTTTTGGCAGCAGCAGATTCCAAATAATGTGTATATTTCGGATTTTTGTAGTACACACAGTAGCATGATTGTTGCTCCCTCAACCTTTCGCAGCAAGTTGCCGATGGCCGCACCTCCAATGTGAAAGCCAACAGACACGGTCTCAGATCGTCGAGGTCGCAAGTCACGGCCTCTGCCACACGAGCTCCGGCAAGAAGCGCCACCATCGCTGCAACCAAAATGAAAAGGCTTGTGATCGGAAGTTTGCTCATTCTTGAGGATTTCGGGAGGGCTGAAGATATGTGTATAGGAGAAAAGAAAGAGGAATTTGTGCATATTTGCCGATGTTTTCGACCAATATTTATAGCCTCGTGAAGTGGAAGATGTGCAAAAAATTACTAGTTACCATCCTTTGACTAATTTAACACTCCCCCACCACTCACTTATTTGTTGGGAGTGCAGCCAAGTTGGTAACATCACTTACCATATACAAAGAGAGACTTCCAAAGATGGGGAAAAGACTTTGGTATTTGTAACTCATCAACCATGGAGGAATATTTCTTATCCACACTGACTTAGAAATATGACTAAGACACATTACTTGTTAGCCCTCAAGGGATTGTCTGGTTGCAAGGGTTTCGGGTTTCTTAATCATACCGGCTTAGAGATACTGAGTTTGAATCTTTCGATGAATGTTTACATAATAAAAGATTTATGGCTGAATAATTATTTAGTACTATCCAAGAGAAAGTAAGAAATCGTTACCCAATTGCTTGAGTTTTACAGCCACACGAAACTGAAAAATATAAAGGCACAGAAGACTACAATAGGTAGTTACATCATCATAGGCCTATACAAGGGAAGAGTTAATACCAGCTGTAATGACATAAATGAATCACATAAGGTAAGAAT